ATATTGATATCTCGATCCTTAATTCTAGTCATTTTAGATTTCCTTAGAGTTGTCGTCGATACCCTTTTAGAAAATTTATAACCGATTAAAGTGAACAAATAAGGTCATCAAGCCGATATGAGAATGCCATTGGTTACAATAAACGGCGAACAAAGTGGATAATTTTTGATAGTGCAAATGTAGATTAGTGTAATTAGTTGAAATGGTGAAAGAATTGCGAAATCTACAATTCAATTCATTGATAGTAAATAGTCGCGTTCTTTACTTAAGTTTCTATTTTGCATTCCTTTTGTATTCCTTTCTGAATTTATTCTACGACTACGTCAATTATTTACTGCGGAGGACTCAAATTAAGATCGTAAACGATATAATAAATGTCAAGCTTGCAGAAATTACAACAAATTTTGATCATTTTCTAATAAAATTTGAAATCTCTTATTTTTACTTTACCTTGATTCAGCTTGTAAGTACGCAAGCTCGCGTATGCAAAATTAGTGCGCTTGCGTGCCGCCTGTATGCTGTATCCATGTGTGCGGTCTTGAAGTGTGTGTTGGAGAACTTGCGCCTGAAAGCATCAGGAGAAAGTCACGAAGGAAGCTGTGAGTCGATGAGCACGTTAGCGTTCGCGAACATTCGATTCACCGTTGGTCGAATAAAGAGTCGTGTATCGTGATTCAAAAGGGTGATTAGTGAGCGGTGAACTCAAGAGGCTTCTTATTTATGGATTTTTTTCGAGTACCGAACCGTCCCGCGTCGATCATCGTTGCATCCGACTGCAAGTTTTTCTGTATTTTTTCCAATATTTTCGTTTCCATGAGCTTTTCAGACAGCACATGGCGAAAAAAACATAACTATTTGAATTACAACATTTTTCCAAGTCTCTGAAAGCACTCGATGGACTTGAATAAAAAGTTTTAATTTTCTTTTCATCGAAGTGTAGAACCTTCAATTGTTAACGTACACATATGCTTCCAGAGACTTGGAATAATTTTACGGTGTACCATACCAGTGTTGGGCATAATCGTAATCATATTTACGATTACGATTGTTATCAAATGTTTTCGAGTTGTGATTACGATTACGATTACAATCAAAGAAAGCAAAATCAAAAATTAAAAATTTTCAGTTAAAATAATTCATGCCAACAGAGTAGGATCTAGATAGGGTAATTTTGAAAAATGTTTGATTCTGACGAAAGCATTGGTTTTCTAAATTTCTTGGGACGAGGAACACGAAACTGAAGTCGGTTTTAATGTAAAAAATTTCTATGACTGAAAACCCCTAAAAATACATTCGTAATCTGATGTATACTCTGAGTGGTCTCAAAGAGAAAAACTTTTTTCGTACTTTCTAAATAAGAATTTTAATTAGTATTTTTTAAAGCATGCTTTATACAAAAGCATAAGGGGCACATAATCACGAAATATGTTCAATTTTTCTTATCTTAATTTTTCTCTTTTCTTCAGATCGAGAACCACCGATATAAATTTAATTTAATTGTAGTTGGAATCAATGATCAAATACGCGTGTACACAGCTCCGAACGATTAAAGAATCAACTGTACGAATATCAGTAGCGTTTATCGAGATATCTGATAATTTGAAAGTCTCAATTACGCAAGATAAACGTTACGTGTACAAGGTACTCGCTTTTCCTTCTTTAATTCGCGACGTCGGTTCATCCTTTGACATTGACCAGAATCATGATCTCCGAATTGTTTGGACGCGCTGTAGCCGAGCAAAGCATCTTGGCCAAGGCTACTGGGGCGTCACTAAATTATGGAAAGAGTCTATACACGTGTATTTATCACTGAACTATAAGATAACGTTGTGACAGATGATGACCCGTAAGACGACAAGTGCGCGTCTCTCTAATTGCGTCGGGCAAGTGTTCATTGGAAATTTTAGTCGAAATTTGAAGTATCGTTTTTCTGCTCCTCGTGATCGATATTGTTGAACGAGTTTGCGATGTACTCGTCAACTGGCTTGCTCAGTCTGTCTAAAATAATTAGACTAACCCTGTAGAAAATAAAGTAAGAGTATTGGTGTAAATTCTATTCATTTTTTAAAATGCGTTCTTTTTGCCTCGAGTAAACATAGTACCTTTGATTGCTTCGATAATAATTAAAAAGAGGCTTTATTCTATCAAGATTTTGTAGATTTCGAGTTGTTTTAGTACTGATTGAAGAGAAAGTAGGAAAATTAATATATGCGAGTTTTTGTTCCTTCAAACTGTTTTAATAACGTGGGTTGCCCTTGCATCTTCCCACTTGAGCTCTTTCTCGGTCATTAGTTAACTAGTATGGTACAAGTCGGTTAATTTACATAGTCGTATTGTATCTATATCTATTGTATTATATCTATGTATTTTAATTTTCTTCTAATTGCACATTTCAACTCCACTTTACCTTCTATTGCAAATGCTTCCTTTTTCGCACCTCTTTTTATTTTACTTTACTTCTTATCGTAATAAGGGCCTTTCATCCATATTAATAATCAATAATTAAATCAAAATCACGATGTTCGAGAAAATTCACTGATTCAACTGTTTGTTCTTAAGTCGTTCCGTTCATTGGAGATAGTTTCAATTCGTGTTGGGCATTCGCATCATCGTCGCGCAGTTATCGGTGATTAACGACAAAACGATACAGCACCCCTTTATTGTTTGCATTTTGGATAACAGTATCGGTAAGATAAACGAAAAATGTTTTATTCAGAATGAAAAGTTCTTTTTAAGTGATGGCGAGTAAATGATTTCTAGTTTCATTTGAATATTATTTTGGAAAAATATATTACTACGAAGCAATAGGGCGTGTTCAAGAAACTGAGACCAAACACGATATAAATTTCGATGATGTGTACCATGCATATTTTGTTAGTTAGTGTTCTACGATATATGATACATAATAAATTGTTACAAGTAAATATGTTGCAAATTACGTCGTGTTTGGTCTCATTTTAATCAGAAAAATGTCAGCAATATGATGGTAAAAGTTTTACAACAAAACAGTTAATAATAAAAAAGTTTCACCGTTGTATTAAATTGGTTCACCGAGTAATCCGATGCCAGATCATGTTTACACTACTCGTGATCGAACTCCTGGTCCCCTCAAGAGTATACCCCCAAGTGGTAGGGCTGGCTTCTGTGCATTTATCGTAGACAAATTTGTGCATTTATGGATTGTGGTCATCACGACACTCCCTACGAGAGTCCAAAAATCTCCCAGAAATATGCGATCAATAGACGAAGAAGACTCCAAAGACCATCGGAGTCGTTTCCACGTAAACTATCCGTTCCGTTATTTATTAAAGTATTTATTAAATTTTTTATCATTACTTCGTCTTACATGACTCCTGCATTGTTCTAATACTGTTTGCAGTATCTCTTAACTCTTCTATCTGAGGGGACCTGCTAGCCCTCCTCTAGGTCGGGTACCTCAGAATCGCGAAACTCGCACCGTAGCTGCTGTTACGTGCCGACATTTTCATTTTTGTTTTTTCTTGATTCCGTCGGCAGGAATGTGTTCGAAATGCTTTACCATCCCGAATTCGTTCTAATCGAACACAAACCTTGCCTTTGACGGTAGTTTGTTAAATTCATTTTTGAACAAAGATACACATTCCCTCCTTGATGTCAACATATTAAATTTTCCATCCAATATAAATTAACATATTAAATCTTTCCTTTCTGTAAATATTAATTTAGCCGTTTATTGCGTAAATTATAATTCTTTCACGTGTGTGTGCTTTTCCTCCGACCAAAGCATTATTCGACAAGCATCATCGCCAATATCGCAGCAGAATATCGCAACGTTAAAGCGTATAGAAAATCTTAGTGGTGAGTGTCATCCTGCAATACGATATTATTATATGTACATTTGGATAATTGTGACCACTCGGAATATCAAAAATGATATTTCATTTCCGGGTAAACCCTAATTGATGTTCACGGGTAAACCCTAATTGATGTTCACGGGTGATTGATTATTAACCATCGCACAATTGTACCGATAATTTTGTATAGACATATATATTGTAAAGCGAGAACGAAAGAACGAAAGAGCAAATTCTAATATTTTGGGCATAGTTCACATAGTATACTATTATAATAAAATGTATTGTACTGCCATTCTGCTAAACCTCTAAAAGTTTCTACTCATTAAATACGATAGCCCTATTGCAGCAGAAAACTGTTTTCATAATTTAAATTCTTAAATCCGCTCGAATGCTAACATTTCTATCCAGATTTCACTGAGAAATTCACATACGAGACAGAGCCCGTACGGGACTGCTGCGACAAAGACCTGACGTTGCCGATAGGCAAGTAAAATATACAGGGTGTTCCAAAAATGTTGTAACACCTTGAAACGGGTGGTTCGGGAGGTGATTTGAAACAACTTTTTCCTTAGCGAAAATCCGAGGCTTCGTTTGACGAGATATTAACGGAAAACACTGACCAATCAGAGCGCGAGTATGCTGGTGAAGCGCTCGCGGTAGCGTATTAGCGCGGCCGCCTAGCGCGGTAGCCATGCCTATCGCGGGCGTTGCAACAGTATCCGCGCGCTCTGATTGGTCGAGGTTTTCCGTTAATATCTCCTCAACGAAGCCTCGGACAACATTTTCACTAAGGAAAAAGTTGTTTCAAATCACCTCCCGAACCACCCCTTCCAAGGTGTTACAACATTTTTGGGACACCCTGTATATAAACGTATTATCTTAAAATATATTGCTGCGACGCGTGACTAATTTCTCTATCTGCGTCACACGTCACACTGCGTACACGTATGCTACGCGAACGTAAACTATCATGTAAACAAACAATACATCTGAAAAACCAGCGTAAACATCTGAATATCTCGTTTCTTGTTGCTCGAGTAGAACTCCTGCACGTGGCTGCTCGTCTGCGCACGCAACAATCATTCTGAGAAACACTCGACTCCGTATCGTCTTGTCGCGAAGTGGACTCGCGCGACACTTATGCAGTCGAGTCGACTCGTCGAATGCGCCCGGGAGTTTTCTCGAAGAAGACGCGAGGCTATAATTCACGACTGTTCGCGATTGTGCGTGGCCGTTATCTTACCGTTATAAAATACCGTGGACTTTCAACTTTTCATTTGATACTTGGGCGCGCGTTATCGCGCTATTGCCGAATGCCCGGAGAAAGAGTGGTAGGAGGGAAAATAAATAACCGGGAAATAGTAAACGGGGACGATCTCTTTAACTGGTCCTCAGTACGTTTACTTGTGTTCGCGGAAGAACACGGCTGCTGGTCTTTAACGTCTTATCATACGTCGCGACGGATTCATTCGCGTTTAGCCCGTAACGTACGTCAGCTTCTTTCATTCGAACGAGTCCAATCGGCTGATTACGTTCCACGACAACAAGGTGAGCACGTGCTGCGCGTGCATCCGAAGAAGGAATTGCCATTTTTCGCGCGCTTTGTCGCCATTATCCATAGCCAGTGCCGGATTTACCATAGAGATAAGGGAGCTATAAGCCTAGTCCTCGTCTTAACACTTTACCTACCGGGCTATTTAGAAACAGACTTTAATTCAAAAAAGAATTCTCTACAGTATCATATGCCAATCTAGGCTGATAATAATTCCTCCATACTGTTACCGGGTACATTGAAAGCCAAGTCTGTTTCCAAACACAGAACATTGTAAGTAGACAACCATCAACACAGTAAATAAATCCGAATAGCTAAATACTGCAATTAAAAAGTCTAAAAATAGGCTCCCGGTAAATAAAGTGTTAAACGGGCTTCATATTTTCCTCGATGGAATCCTATAAAAATTTCTCAGTGAAAACATTTTTTGGTCATGTAAAATATTTTGGTTCGTCGATTCTCGAAGAATTTGAATATATGTTCTGTCGATAACAATACAGGATTTACATCGATCTACAATGTTAAACGAAAGATTATCCTCTCTGGCCTCTTTATTTATTAAAAGTGATTTATTAAGATCTCTAGATTTTAACGATTTAATAATGGAGTTTGCAAACATAAAATGTAGAAAAAAACTATTTTATTGAATTTAAATAAATAATTTTAATAGTAAATTTAAAAAAAAAGGGCCTCTACTATTTGATTTATTCTGGGCTTCTTCAAACGTAAATCTGGCACTGTGCATAGCTCCTTCATTTTCTGTATTTGGGTAGGACGTTTTTGTACAGGTAGAGTCTAGAGTCAGGAAGAACACGCGAGTGTCTCCGGTTGAGATTGAAATTGGGAGAAAATGTCGAAAATGAAATTTGTACATTTTCAAGGCAGCAATTATAGTGATACTAACACGTGTGGCGTTATCTACAAGATTATTTAAAGGTTATCAATGTTTTCTCTTAAATGGTCCCGTGTATTTCTTTTTTACCGCGACCTTGAAGTGACCTTGGACTTTGACATTTTTTCCTACCTTCTGTCCTAGTAGTAGGTCTTTCTCGTGATTCATCTTGTATAGTCGATCACATTCGTTGAAATTATTCCAACAGCTGGTCACCTTATCTATTTACTATACCTTGTTACCACCTATATCAAAGTAATTCTTCGTTTAAGGGGACATTCTGGTCTGAAAAGGTTGAAATTGCAACATTCTTAAGAATTCAGTATTGCTAAAAGCTTTTTTTTTCAATAGCCACATGTGTGCACAGTAAGGAATGTTTTGTTTTTTCTTCTTTAAGATGAGCAGAACTAACTTCATCATGTCACACCATACAAAAATCTCAATATGGACAAAATCTAAAGCATTTTATATCCAGTGTTGCACGCTAGGCAGACAAAATAAAAAAGAAGGTTTTGAAGGAAACAAGTGAATGTGAAGGAATATAGGAAAATAAACAAAAAATTTATGTTTGAGAGGCCGCAACCCAGAATGCTCCCTTAAAAAACGAAAATTGTATCCGCTAGTTATCTTTACCAAAAGTTGTGGTAGCCAATTCTTTCTTGCAATTGGTAGAATTCTAACGAACCGCTCGAAGGGGCCAGTGAATAAGTTTCATTTAACGACAAGCATCGAATCATTTCCGCCAAATTTTCAACTAAAGTTTTCATCCCAAATTCATTAGCGCCTGATGCAATTTCCAACGTAACAATCGTCACGTAACTCAATCTGTGTTAATGAAATGTAAACGAAATCAAAGGTTTCGAGTTGAAAGTAATATGTATTCGATAAAGCATAAGAACGCATTACGTAACAATGTTGTCACAAATTACTTGCCATTTTATTTAAAAGATTTCCCTGCTTTCAAATGAGAAAGCTACTCGGCAATTTTATCAGTGTCTAGGTTATCAGTTTGTACGGAAAAGTACGACCAGATATGATAATGGTGTTTTCTTTATCAATTTTTTCAATTGTAACTTTTGTAACGATAAACAATTGATGTGCCTTTTTAATTAAGTCGCGCAACGTTTGTTTCCATGCGAACTCTTTTGATCACACATAATCCGAATAAAATCGTGTTCGATGTTAGACTCATCGGGAAAATCTCACCAATTAATCGATAATACTCTTGCTACGATGTAACGAGGAATATCAAAGTTTTTAACAAGTTCTGAATTGCGCAATTGCCAATAGAATCCCGTCAATAGAAACATAAACTGTAGTAGGAATGGTTAAGTTTCTTTGATCCCGTGTTAAAATCTTATCATCGAGCGTTTTATAATCGAAACGTTGCAATAAAGAATCACACTAATCCCATAGTTTGATACGTTTCGAAAAGAAGATAAAGTAACTTCTCTTGATTTCTGCATTCTGTTAGCACTGTTTGAGATCGGTAACGAAGCTTAACGAGAGAATCCGGTATCGAGTTTCCTTCGTCTGATCGTTCATTATGTCTTTTTTCAGACAAACGAGCGCCCTGTAGACATGGTCGTTCCCACAGAACATGCTCTTCACGAGGCGATACAGGTATCGCCGCTTGTGCTTTCGGACGACGTGCGGCGGCAAAAGGTGAGCATGCTCGAGAATTCTCGTGATTATCTACTCGCGATGTTCCGAAATTTTCTGTATTTTTAAGTTCGTGAACATTCTTCGCGAGAAATGTGCTTCGATAAATGCGAGTCAACGAACTCTTTAGCTACCAAGAGACTTTGCTACTTTCACTTTCAGGGCGAAGTAAAATTTCAAGGGAGGAGATACGGGAGAATAGGTGAAGTATAGACTCGACTACGGGTGTCGATGTTATCTGCCGTCTCACCTTGCCCTGGTACATAGAAAACGTTAAAAATATCCAACAGATATTCAAAATAGGCTGCATTGTGAGCGAGTGCTGCGGTATCGAGTATCTCGTGTCTTCATGCTGGAAATAACCACTTCCTAATGCTACCTTCTTTCAATAGTCGGTACGGAAAGATGTTTCCTAGGAAACAGTGCCTCCCTTCGACAATATTTAGAGATAATTACAAGAATATATTTAAGTATCTCTCGCATTCTTCAGTTCTATACAAATCAATAAAGGAAAGATAACTTTATTTAAAGCTTTCCTAAAAATACTCCACGAAAAAGAAGAATGTTCATTCTTTCAAAGGGCGATCTAAACATATTCGGTCATCTGATTGAAAAATCATTTCCTATTACGGTTCATCCACTCTGCTGGCGTGCAGTGTTTCAAAACTGTCAGCGTTTCCACTTGTCGTGGCGTTTCATACTGATTGCGAAAAGGTAAACAGCGATTCCTCGCAGCGCATAAAATGTATCCAACATCTAACGGTCGCCAGCACATTTTTCAGTCATAGCGTTTTGTCGCGTTCGGTTACATAATCGATCGATCTCTGGCGCGGGCAAGCGACGGGAACGTTGAATCATTACTGATTGAAGAAACGGCGAACGAGAGAGTCCTTAACCTTGCGACATTCTCGTTAAGAGTTTACTGACACCGATCGATGGTTATAGATACTTTCTCTTTCGCTCGTGCCAATCTCCGTCCCAGCTCCCCGCTGCGAGCAATTAACTAACGTCGGGAGCACGTGTCTCTCTCGATCATGTGAAATTAATTACGTAACGTTGGTCGCCAGCGCAAGAAAAATGTTTAATTTATCGTCGCGATTACGTCGCGATTCGACGAAACTCGGGGCGTTCTCCACGGTCATCGCGATTAGTTAGGAAGAGGTGGGGAAACAAACGATTAGGGTAGCTAGATAATTCAGGAGCATCTAGAGAGAGATGAGGACCGATTAATACGACGCAATTATAGTTTCTTTTTCGTAAATAACGAGACCAGACCGAATTTAAAGCACACCGAGCTAGATTTCACGAGTTCATCGTGCGTTTGATCGCGAAATGCTCATAAATCGTTTGCTTATCGCGCCCTCTAAGACGCAAGGTTATCGCCAGGGTAACTTTAAAAGTTGTAGATGCTCGGGACAAGTTTATCGTCGATGACACGTTTCGTGTGGGAATAGAATTCGCCCAACGTACGAGCGATTATCGGTAGTATTTGTGTGTACTTTGTCGCGAATAGTTGGAAGGATAGGAAGTCGTTCGCTCTCAAGTATTCCGCGAAGGCTCGTCTTGGTGAACAGCTATTATGCAGAACGTTACATCAGAGGGAAGCTGTAACAGGCTACCTACGCACTCTTTCCATATTCGATTAGAGCAGATCGCGCAATGTCACGGCCAACAACTTCCTCCTATTCCCTTTTGCGTCGTTGGCAATTCCCTTTTTCCGATTCCTCGATAACGGAGCAGTCGCGATAAACGTTGCCAGGATGCAGCGATAATTTCTCTGTCATTGTTATCGCTCTATCGCGTTAACGATTGGATGGAAAGGTTGGTTCCTCTATGTCTGCTCTGCGACATATTGCTTTGAAACCAGTGGATCTTGTAAAATGCTTTGTTTTTTATTCATTGAATAACTCTATTTACCGCGTTAAATATGAAAGCAAAATGAAATTGTCACCACAATTTTTAAAGACCATTGTAATAGAGAATTAACTTTATCGATGAATTAGTTCACGTCACTTCCTGTAGTTGCTGTGTTAACACTTAAACGGCCCATACACAATACTGATCTGTCGTAGAACAAGTACGACGTAGAACAAATCGCTTCGACGAGTCCCTTCGACCGTTTGAATGAGTTGCATTGTCTGTGGAAGTTGGGCAACCTTTCATATTTGGTGCAAGATATTAGCGCGATTATGTGGTGCTTGATATCATTTTTATCGAAAAAACATAAGGAATCCATCGATACTATTTCCGCGACAATCTGATGAAAAATCTAAACATTTTACGTACAGCAGTACATCACTTTACGATTGACTGCCCGTCAATCTTTTGTTCTCCGCCGAGTGCCTACCTGGGTTCGCTCAAAGGTCTGGAATTGAACGGGCGATCGGCTCATCAATTTTTTATAAAATCGAATTTTTTATTCTTCATCGTATCAACGTGAACGTAAAGCCGTTGGATTCTTGGTGTTCTCCCGATTAGCATGATATCTGAAATCGCGTAAATCGGACTACTTTTGACTGATGTTAAAAATCATGTAGAAATTTATTTGTTGCCATTTGTAACTATCGAAAAATTATAAAATTAACATCAACAGATCCGGAAAAGGTTAAATTTTAATAAAGAAAAATAGAAAAAATCGTTTTTTTTTTTTTCGAAAAATGTGTAGTGCTCTCTCAAGTAACGTAAATTTCTTCCCATTTGAGAATACATAACACAGTACTGTTTCACGTAACATTTAGAAACTGGTCGAACTCAAAGAGACCACTCGAGATCTAAAGTTGGGTTTCATTTGTGAATATTTCTGAAATAACAGCACGTTCCACAAGCATCCGTGTCGTAACCTCCGACCTGAAGTCGACCCATACCCGCAGATGTTCACATAGGCTACATTATTTACTTGCTCGTGCTTATGAAATATAAACACTGGTGGGGATGACTCAGAATCGCGAATCCAAGCAACAAATTTTATCAATATCCGAGGCATTACCGTAGTTGTAAAGATATAGGCTGTTTACGCAATCATTACGTAGAAAAACAGAATCCTCGATCAAAAAGATCAATCGCATTGTTAATCTATATAAGCATAGCTTTAGCATGAGCTGGGAGAAATGAAAGTTATACAAAATCAGCGAAAGGGCAGCGTTTGAAGAGGAAGTAGTGATTTTTGATGATGTTAACCGTCAGGAAACTCGTAATACTTTATATTACATTGAATTTGAAAGGATGTAGATCCATACCGCAAAAGGAAGATCAATTTAAAATTCTAAATGCGTCTAGTTCGTGGTCTTGAATAGCAGTACGAATGCAGGAAATGTCAATACATGTATCATATGTAACTTGTTTTGCCAGGTAGCATTCAATTTTGCCGTGTTGTTTCGAGCCGTGTACAAAATTGAGCTTCGATCCGTGAACCATGGAAATAGATCTTCATTGTTTCATGGAGTTCGAGCATCACTCGATACCCGTGCATTTCGATATTTCAAGTTTTCCTTGCTTTTTCATATCGGTTTCCTGAATTTTTACGGCTCGTCGTGGCGGCGACGGTTGCGCGAATGCAACCGGTTTGCCTTCGAGGAAATGAAACATTAGTACATATTATCTGGTCGCGAGCACTTTGTTTTCGATCATGCGCACGTACGACGAACTCGTGAGAAAACTATCGTCGATGATGAATAAGGAAATTCTCGATAATATGGGCATTATTGGTTAAATACTTTGATAATTACCCGTAGAACATATTTTTTTGTTCCTATGAAAAAATCGTAGACCAATTAAAAGAATGCAATTAGATACAATTAGATACAAATATATAACAGAGACAAATTTTGATTAATCACGTGTATGTTAAAAACGTGTATGTTAAGCCTCAAAGTTAAAAAACTGGAAATAATTGGACGTGAATTTGATAAATTCCACAACTTCAGTTAATTTAAAGTGCTCCTTTAATTTCATTGCGAAAATGTATAGATAGCTAGACAAGTTTATTATACATTGTTTCCAGTGAAACAGTATTTTGCATTACTCGTATTATCCTACTTCGTGGGGATTGCAGCACTTTTACACCCTACTACATTTTTTCTTTCTGGATCTAATAAACTCGACTCAAACGATGTAGAAATTTTCAGTGAACACTGATCCATAATACGCAAACAAACACCTTTCATTCCTCTTTATAAGTTTTCTATTTTGTAATGCTTCATTTTCAATTTGAAGCATTGCTCGGAATTCTATTATGGAAAAATAATGGAAACTGCACGTGGTGGCAGTATATAGTTCTGTGTTAATTGGTTACTGCGGTAACGTAACGTTTGTTATGTAAACGGGAATTCAGAGAGCGTTAATTCTACGATTGCGCGAGAAAATTCCTCTTATCCGTGGAGCCTTGGTCACCGCGCATGTAATCTTCAAATTGGACAGTGGTGCATTATCCTAGGGGCAAATAGGATGTCTGTCTAAAGCATCGTTCCCCAAAAATCAACGTTTCGAGAACCCATCGCTATTATTCACGCTCATATGTACGAGAAATATACGAAGAAATAAATTATTTTGTTCAATTCCTGGCATATATCACATTATCATTAAAATAATATATCATTAAAATAATGTATAAAACGAGGTACAGAGTTTTTCTCCAAGAGACTAAAAGAAAATAAATCTGGATAGAATCCACGAATTTGACAAGGTTGTAAAAGTAGGTTGCATATGTCAGATTGAGTTGCATATTGTATAGCAACTAAATTTAAGCCTCGTAGAAATTTTCACGAGTCTGCCAGGGAATATGTTAGATGGAGGGCCCCAAAGTTCTGTTTTGTCTTAGGTATAACGCACCACTGACAACTGGAGTTGTTTGCGACGCGATTCGTCGTCCGATCAAGCGCTCAGCTTCTGGTCCGCCTATTCGAATCCCATTAGAGATCACGTAACAGGGAACAGGGTAAACAACGACAAAGAGGCCTCGACATCTTCCAGAGATGTTCGTCACGGCGTTAGAAGCGTTTATATGGATCACGGAAAATTTTCTGTCGCGATAATGGTCACGTGGCTCCGTCAAACGAATGCAATTCAAAAGACTTTTGTTTGCAGATCGAGCAGAAAGTGGCGCGGCTGCAATTTTCGGCCGCGACCGTGAGGAAGATCCAGGACGTCTTCGTGTCAGAGATGAACAAGGGGATTCATCAGCAGTCGTCGTCGTTGCAAATGGAAAACACTTACATTCCGGAACTTCTCGACGGTTCAGGTTGTTAGAACAGTCCTTATCTATCGTGGCCCGATGCAGTTGGGTCGCTCGTTACGCTCGACGAATTGATAAACATTTTTACGAGCCACAATAAAAGTTGGTCTTAGGTCGATTATCGACATAAGCCATTGTGGATCGTCCATCATAATGCTTGTTTAGAGAATAGATAAATCCTAATGCCTGCTGTTATTGTTAGAAAACGATTTCCACTTCATCAATGATCTAAATTGTTCTTTTCTCTTCTTTATTTTACTTTATATTGTATGAATTGTATCTTTACTCCCTTCTTTTTGTATTTTACTTCTGTAACCTTTCTGTTTTACTTCTGCATTTATCATTTTCTTTTTTTTTTTAGTAAGTATATGACCATTTTTTCCATCATACGTCGATGATACGTTATCATTCAAACTCTCACACACGAGTTCTCGAAAGTCATTGTCACTTAAAATTTATTTCGACTTACTGCTAACCAAAGAAACGATGAAATACGTTTACAGAGGAGGGTTTGTATTTGGCGCTGGATCTCGGTGGCACGAATTTTCGGGTGCTTCTTCTGGAACTGGCGCATGGAAAACCTATAAGAGAAGAGATGAAGATGTTTCACATCAGCTCCGATTTGAGGGTTGGTTCGGGGTTTCGTCTGTTCGATTATTTGGCCGAATGTGTCAGTGATTTCGTCATCGCGCTGGGTCTTCAGGACGTAGAGCTTCCCCTTGGTAAATTGAAATCGATATTTATAGCTGCTTAACCAGGAACAAGACACCTGATTACCTATCTCGATTCTGACGATATGGAAATATCTATGTAACAAATTTTCCCAAAGATACATTTTCCCAGAACTGTTCAAGATTGCCGAATTTTTCGCATGAAAGCGCAAACATGTTTGTCTCTTGCATCTTGCAGGAAGTGTCATGTCTCCCAACCTTGGGCTACGAAATCTCAAATTAAACATGAAACTTGCTTTTGTCGAGTCTCTAGGATTCAGTGGTGACAGACGATGATTTGTGACTGTACACAACTACGCATGCATATGTGCAGATGTATAAGATCTGCTTGCCGTCTTCGCCATAAGATAATCTATCACTATGTTGATAAATGTGTCACGTCGCGGTATTCAAAGCAAGAGACAATGTAAAAGGTAAATTTGTATCATCGATGACCTAGTACTCCGCGAGGCCTGTTGGATAGAGCTAATTAGAGCTTGTATTCCTACTGTGTCGGAAGGAATTGAAATTAACATTTGAATCGACTAAAGTAACAGTAAATTAATAGCAAGCTCATTAATCGTTCTAACGTCGTATTAGAACGATCCCTTTTTTGAAGTCAAGTTAGATTTAAGTACATATTAATACCTACTGCAAGATCCAAGAGATACAAAATAAAAAATAACACCTTATTCACCATGTGGATCCATTCCAATTATATCTAAAATATATGTCCATATCCTCAAAAATGGAAGACGTAATAAAGTGTCCTGTTTTTATTCAACGTTAAGGCTCGGAGGAAATCAAACCTAAGACTTGTCTCTACGTATTAGGTTGTCCCAAAAGTTTCTTTCGCTTTATTAATAAGTAATACATGCACAATATTTTATGTTTTATGTTACAGTACTGAATTGTGAACAATTTATTTTGCTCCATTACTGTTACAACATGAATATCTATGAAATTAGATTGCCTATTTATATAAGTACGACTACATAAAATAATTGAGTGCAACTCGCGAAAGAAACTTTCGGGACAACCTAATATTTTGAGATGCTAAATAATCTCTGCAAATTATTCGAATTGAAATTTCTCAAGACATGTGATTACCAACACAATGTCTTTCGAGCACTTTATGCTATCAGCTCTCGAGTACCGTGTTTCTCATTGAGTTTACAAATTCAAGTGGCTGACACTCGTTGCAAATCAAACACAGATTACACGATGTTGGATCGATAATTCTTTAAACATGGTAAATAATGTTAAAAGCATATTCGATGAGTACTCTCTTTTGTAACCTTTTCTCTAATTTATCGCTATTATTTCAAACATCTTACGTACCTTTACGCGTCTTTCAGGTTTCACCTTTTCGTTCCCCATGATCCAACATTCCCTGGACATTGGAATGCTGGTAACTTGGACGAAAACCTTCAATTGTCCCGATGTGATAAACAAGGATGCCGTGAGATTGCTTCGCGAAGCTCTGGCTCGTCGCAATGATACCAAAGTGAAGGTCACGGCGATTTTGAACGACACCACGGGAACGTTGGTTCAAGCATCCACCGTGGACCCTGATACAGCAATCGGACTTATATTGGGCACAGGAAGCAACGCCTGTTACCTTGAACGTGCCGATCGAGTGGAACATTGGGAGACCGAAAGACACGGAGAACGCGAGGTAATTATTTTCTTAACGTTATACTTCGCTACAAAATGAATGTTACTCATCGAGTACTTAACTAATGATCGATATTAAAGGTTATCATCGATATCGAGTGGGGTGCATTTGGAGATAACGGCGTCCTGGACTTCATCAAGACAGATTACGATCGTGAGAACGATGCGAACTCTCTTATTGTAAATTCATTCACGTAAGTAAGAAGAAACGTAATATTCATTGAGAAACGTATACATTAAAATTTCCTTTCCACAAATTTATTATGCGATCTTCTTTCAAACTCCTAGGTTCGAAAAGTATATTAGTGGGAAATACTTAGGCGAGCTCGTGCGAGTAGTACTCGCGAGGTTAACCAAGGAAGGATTTTTATTCGTAGGAGATCACACGCCTGGATCTCTTCTAATTCCTGGCAATCTCACTAGCGATTTGGTCTCGGATATTGAGCAGTAAGTGATTCGAAAGAAGAAAATCTATACTATACGTACTTTATATGTATATTTCTAATTTCTGACGATTCCGAAACACAGAGATTCCGTGGACGGTGGTACCAGCAACACGAAGGAAGTTCTTAGGAAATTTGGTATCGTACCCGACGAAGATGACGCAAAAATTGTTCAGTATGTTTGCGAGATAGTGTCCAATCGTGCCGCGCTTCTTGTATCTACATGTAAGCCCATAGATGTCTTAAAAAATTGCATTACGGGAGACTACGTAATAAATCCTAATTAAAATAATTTTCAAGGTCTTGCAGTCCTACTGAAACGAATCGACAAGGAACGCGTAACAATTGCCGTAGATGGATCCCTTTACAAACACCACCCTAGACTGGAAAGTTGGATTAAACAGTACATTCCATTATTAGCTCCTGATCATAAGGTAAAATGTTTATTTTATTTTCCATGAACTATGTTATTGTCTTACACAATTAATTAATTAAACGATTGCGCAGTTCAAAATAATTCACGCCGAGGATGGAAGCGGAAAGGGTGCTGCACTGGTTGCCGCGATCGCACAAAGACTTCGCGAAAGAATAGACTAGTACAAATTAAAAATACAAAGTACTCTGGCCTATAATAAGTTTTTGTTAGTGGCGTTAATAATTCGCACCACATCTCTAGTTAAGCCTCTACGATACAGTACAGCATTTGCGTATATTTTTGTTTATGTTTTTAAACTTGTTACGTACAAATTGTTATGAGAAGAGTGTTGTTACGATTTCCAAAATTTCGTTGTTATTCACCGTGCGATTATCCAAAGAGCTAGGGTCGATACTCTTTGTTTTCGAGTGATTAGTCCGGCTTGAGAGGCACCTTGTCCATCCATGGAATACGTTATTTCTAGAGGGATTAGCGTGTAATTCACTCAGAATGGTGTTCGTACAGAGTTTTTAGAATTCATTCTTTCGTCTGAATGCAAGAATTATATTTTTCACGTTGTTTAAAATACTCAGATGATTCTTTGTAATTGGTAGACTTGCCTTTTATTATTGTTACACAAGCTCGGTTTTATTTTACACTCGCATAGGATGTATATACGCACATTAGGAAACGAAAGTGTTGCTCGCATCGACACTCAATCTTTTGTTAACTCATCAAGTTCGGTAGTGTTTAGTGGATCCTTAGCACCTTTTAAGGTAGACACTCACGAAACTTCTATTACATGTACGCGGCAAAAGTGATCTATTTTGGGCACAACAGAAAAGAGAATCGCCTGCGATGGTAATTATGTGCTAATTATGTAAGGGAAAAAAAAAGATCGATTACGAATGGTGTATGAAAGTGAGTGTTGTTAACAACCTGTTTATAGTACCGGATTAAGAATGAGACAGGATTGTGGCGTGGACCGCTAAGTAAAGCTAGACTGAGAGCCCGAAGAGTAAATGCGAAAGTAACGGAAAAGAAAGTTTTAATGAACGTATGGAGATTGTAGAAAAACAAATACTTGTAAAATACGTTGTTATATCTTGTAAATGAGCGCCAAGACGTTCGGGTTTTTGTACTAGAGGAACGAGGTTGTTATAATAAAAATTTAAACGAAAATCGATTGCTTCGAAATTATTGCGGTACTATGGTTTTAGAAAATATCAACTCCACAATTATTTATCATTTTTTGAAGATTGCCACGATGGTCGGATCAGAGAAGTTTGAAAACTTATAGATTACCATGTAACTGCATTTCCAAAAACAAAATTGCCATATTAAATTATGGCATGGGCTTTAAATTAATTTAAATCTGTAGCAAATTTTCTATAAAGAAAAAGAAAGACTGTATCTGGCAGGAATTGCGAATCGTATTGATTTATACGTTCTAGCAAGAATTTATTGATCTTTCTTTCTTCCTACAATACGTCGAATATTTTTTATCCACAAAATACATGCAGCTTTCAGGTTCTTTTAGTCCTTTGAATCGTCTAGCACCGAGTTACCCAAAGGGACCCACAAGTCGCTACGATTGTTTCCTCCATGCGCAAGTAGCGAGAAATTGGCGCCAAAATATAGAAAATAGTTTATTCGACTAATTACTTACGAGTTGACTCTACATTTATGAATATTCCATTCCGTTAAATCCGAGTAACCGACGCAATGTCCTGTCCAGCATAGTGGTGCTTGGAGAGAAACGCTCGAAACAGGGGAAAAAAAGTTTCTCGTTCGTAGACTTACGCTTTATTAAATAATTAACAGGGACGCTATAGAATACATCGGCTACTGCTCAACTTGCAGTAACTTAGTCTATTGATCTTGTTGCTAGGTGGTTCGAGCGCGGTTCTTTCAAATCAAGCGGGGTTGCGCCGTACCGGCACAAGATGGCGGCACGTACGCGGTAGTCGAAAAGTGACAGCTCGGGAACTGTCAGCGGTATGTGCACCGCAACGTTTCTGCTGCAAATAAGTGTTTTGTAATTCAACGAAACGACGGTTGAAACTCGTCGTGGAGTATTCTGTTGTTTCGAAAACCGAAACGGTTTACAGGAGAATAATTCGGTCGTGTAAAAGTCGAGAGAGTGGACGAAACGGTGGGTGTGCACGCAAGAGGGAACGGCTTGCCGGCTCGGCCAGTCTACTGGAAGATTCCATTGTGAGTGGGCTTTCAAAAAGTTTTATCTCCGAAAAGCCAGTGTTTTCGCGCGTTTCGTCGTTCGCCCGTGGATGAAACCTATACGCCAAGGTATTTCAGCGTTATCTCTGTCGATAGGGGTTATGGGTAACGAGGATTAATCGTTTACCGTGAAACACGGCCTATTAGAAAGGTTGAGGTTACAGCGGCCGCTGGGTTCAGCTGGTCTCTCAGCTGATGAACGAACGCACCGACCGGTTTACGGTGCTTCTTTCAAAAACTCACCTCTCTTTTCTTTACCCTTCGTCGTCGCTCGAATTCTCTCTTTTTACGATCGTGATAGAACTCCGAGAAAATTTGACTTGTTACGATCGGCATCGAAATACGATTTATTTCTGACATTTATCCAATGCAATTTCGTACACTGAAATCAAAAATTCACTAAAATTGTGCGCGTTTATTTCGACAAGTAACTGGTTGAAAACCAATTTTATGCACGTCTTAATATTAATACATGCAAAGTTAAATTGTACATGTACAGAGGAATTTATATGTTGCGCGGGTAATCGAGTGAATAATCGTAATGTCAAAATGTGTAAACCTTGTGTAACGTAATTCTGAAAGATTTTCACCGGATATGAAGTTCGGTCACTGAATTCACTCGCTGTAGATTTTTTAACCTAATCCAGAATGTTCAGAACGTATGTCACGTCGTGAACTATTCGTGATAGAATCAGCACAAATGGTACAAAAAGACAATCTAAAATCGATGTCGAAAAAACGTGAACGGTGCAACAAATTGTGGATGACGAAGATTTTGATTGAGAGGTTTCGAAGGACTCGTCGTTTGACCGTTATCAAGTCTTATTACATTTGTTTCATCGCTGATATGAAATTCTTTTTTCACATTTCAAATTCCAAATTTTCGTGCAATTCAATTCTTGAAGTTGTTCGGCGATAAAAAATTGTTTCATTTTTATATTCGGCTCGTCGAGATGAGGTCGAATGATACCTACCATTCTACGTGTTCGGCTTTAGTGACATTTTCAGTGAATTTTTATAGAACTTTCTATAAATACGAAGAAAAGAAATTGAAAAAATATTCAGTTTCCCGTCATCTTCGCGTGCTTATGTGAATTGTGGTGTTATGGTATCAAGCAATGAGGCAACCTCTTTTGTTTTAACTCTTTCGCGTCTACAATACCGTTTTCGATATATGTACACATGTTTCAGACAATTTATATCGTCGAACAAAGGGACAGCTGATTTAAGTAGTTTTAGTCTACAGGATTAGTCGCGAGGTTAATTTGTATTATTATTTAGAATATCTATCGTGTGTTCTCGGAAAATATGATACAGATATCGGTGAACATTTCGTCGCCTCGATATATCGATGCAAATATGCGACTGACTCAGCGATTCGAACTGTTCGCATGAGTTCGGGGAATATTTCGATATAGTTGAATTCTAAATTCATCAAAGTGTATGCGACTGTGTAGGAAAGATTATTAACCCTTTACTTCGTTTTTAATTTTTCACTTGATTACTATAATTCTTTATTTTATAAATTTTCAAGGAACAGATCATCAATGGTTGAGTGTTCGTCGGTGTAATAAAGTTATCACTAGACTGCGGATCTTTATGCATTTATAGGAAACTTGAATGTGCGAGAACCTATAAAATGCAAACGATATGCAAGAATGTTAAAAAAGATTGAAAGTATAGTTCATGTTATAATATTTGCAGAATAAAATAAATTCCTATTTAGGTTCAATTTTTGTAGGCACGTTCGTGAAGATTTTATATTGCATAAAGATCCGCCGTCTAGTTATCACTAATTTCTATAAATAAAATTAGGATTAAAGGGCTCTCTAATCGTTATGCTAATTTTTCTGTCTGAATTTTGTTGTTCAACAAGCTTGCTAATATCCTCGATTTGAAACCTATCGTTTACTCAAACCAAACACAAATACTTTTAAATTAATCAAATAAATTGAAAGTCCCGAAGATTGGGTTAGTGTCGAAATTTAGGTGTGTTTATTTTATCTCATGCAGTCGTAGAGGCGAATGTCGTTGAACTGTCACAATCGACTACGGTGTACTTTCGATCACCTGTAAGGCGACCGATGACCGCGATTCCAGAGTGCCGTCAGGTCGGAGGGAACCTCTTGTGTCAGTGACATTTAAATAAACTGGCAACGATGTTGCAAAGCTTTCCCGACATTAGTTTAGACCATATTAAATTTTCTCGTCTTTAATAACTTGAATAATAATCATTTAAGTAATAACTAGTTAAAACCAACCAAAAATGTTAAGAACACAGTCAAAGGAAAATGAGAATTTATTTTTTGTCCGTGAAATATGTACACGCATATGTCTTCAATTTAAATTTGACAAGATTTCTTCATTTCGAATAAGCAGATCAGTTGACACAGTGTCACTAACATACTCTTCCCAAAAGAGACTATACAAAAGCGCTTATAGTACGTCTAATTGTGATTATTTTCATGAACACTTTATTTACCAGGAGCCTATTTATAGACCTTTTAATTCCAGTAGTTAGCTTTTTGAATTTATTTACCGTGTTGATGGTTGTCTACTTACAATGTTCAGTGTTTGGAAACAAACTTGACTTTCAATGTACCCAGTAACAGTATAGAGGAATTATTGTCAGCCTAGATTGGCACATGCTACTGTAGAAAATTCTTTTTAAATTAATGTCTGTTTCTAAATAGCCCGGTAGATAAAGTGTTAACACCAGGTTTACGAAACACGGTCATTTTTATCCATTCCTAGGTTCGCAAGGTTTTACAGAAACCGTTTACACTTCTCGCCAACCACTTATGCTGACTCTCATCCATATAAAAAGAAAAGCATATATCCAAATTCATGTTTGTCTAAGCTTCTTAATTAATTTCAGTAAACCGACTTCACTTATTCAAACATTACTTCACTAATAGAAATCGGACACAAAATCTCCGTAAACCTAGTGTTAAAAATAAGTTACGTATATTCTTAACACTTTATCTACCGGGCAATTTAGAAACAGTCTTTAATTCAAAAAAGAATTTTTTACAGTAGCATATGCCAATTTAGGCTGCCAATAATTCCTTCATACCATTACTAGGTACATTGAAAGTCAAGTCTGTTTCCAAAAACTGAACATCGTAAGTAGACAACCATCAAAACAGTAAATAAATTCGAAAAGATAAATACTGGAATTAAAAAGCCTATAAATAGGCTCCCGGTAAATAAAGTATTAAAATATGAGCGAATATGTATGCAATACTTGACACAAAAAATTCCTAAAAATTGAGGCTCTAGTCTAGAATCTACTCAACTTGGAAACCACCTTCCGAAATGACTCCAGAGGTCGCGGTAAGGTTAACAACAGCCGGGAAAGTAAAATCCGGGAAAAGTGTGCGCGTGTAGAGCGAGCGCACGCGCGCGGGTTGCGTTGCACGAAAGCACGTTAAATCACCGATGAAAACGACGCGTATGCGGCGTGACACCGTTATTGCTTGCAAATTGACTCGGTTTTCCGTGAAGCTCCGTTCGAGGTCACCGCGCCCGGCTGCAGTTGAGCACCCAGCTGACGAATGGAGGCTGCGACCGGTTCGCCGTGTTCCTTCCTTTTTTTTTTTT